CCGTGTCCCTGTGGACTCAGCACAAGCCTTTATCACACCCATTATTCTTTGGCAAAGAATTCCACAGTTCTGCAAACTACCCTGGCACTTCCAGTCCCCTCCTTTGATACCTTCTTGTTCTCCAGCTGGAAGAGAATGAGAGGAGAAATGATTCTGTGGATCTTTGTTGTGTTCCCCCTAATTTATAGAATTTTCCAGGCTGAAGAGTCCCTGGACACTTAACTGTTCCCTGTATTGCATTTCCTCATCTTAGATCATCTCTGTTGTCCTTCTTGGAGTTTTCCCCAATTCTGTTCTATTACAATATAAAGTAAGGAAAAAAAAAACACCTCACAAAAAAGAAAACACCCAAACAGTGCATAAGTATGGGGGGATTTTTTTGTTCTTGCCAAATATCCTCTACTTTGAGAAGAGAACAAAAAAAAATCATAATTCAGATATATAACCTTGATCTGGAAGAGAAAGGCCTTGGTGAAAGAAGATGCCCTTATTCCCCATTAACTGTCTATAAAAAAAAAAAAATGGAAAAAAAAAGGTAATCTAAAGCAAATACAGGAAATATTATATACGAGACACTAATCAAAATGTTTTTTCTAAGTTATTGCATAAGTTACTGCATACTTCAGGGAGCTGTGAGGCTCTGTTGTCACAGACAGATGAATGTAAGTTTAAAGTTCACCCAGATCTGCAGGACTTGGCCACAAATCCTAAATGAGTCCACTGCAGAGAGGCTGCAGTGGAATTCTTCTGAGAGACAGAGAGTTCAGTGTGCAACTGCAAATATCAAAGTTCATTTAAGAGATTCCTCCTCAGTGCCCTGTACTTATCTCTTCCCTCTACTTGCACCCATCAAATTGTTGTAGAGCTGCTCTTTAAGCAAGGCAGGTGAAAAGATGCTGGTTAAAGCCAAACAAATCACTGTTCCCCAGCAGAGGAGTGAGAGTTACCAGTGGGGAGGGGGGGAATAAATCAGTTTTGCTGCTACAGGACTGAAATGTGGAACAAATCCGAGGAATAATTGACATAATTTGTGTCCTGCAGTAACGGTGAACTCCTAAAGCAAACTGGGGCAGCCTGAAAAGGGTGTTTCCCTTAAAAACATCATAACGTTCAAATTAAAATGCAAGGCCAAAAGAGTTTGGAATATTTACCACCGTGATTTATTGTATATTTTTTTGGGCGCTTGCAGGAGCCAAAAAAAATCGTTTCATAAGCAAGAGAAATGTATTTTCTTATGAAATTGCATCTTATGCATTTTTCTTTATACTAAATAAGACATGAACTTTGACTCCAGATCTTTGTAAGGCTGAACTACTCACAATAGCTCTGTACTTCTTGGAGTTTTTCATTTTAGTAAGTTTTTCAGAAAAATAATGTCTGAAAAATTAATGTTTGAAACTTCTACCTGTGAATAAAGTGCAATCACTTTTGCACAAAGCAAATGGGGGAGAAGATGGACACATAAGCTCCAGTCCCTTGGAAATGAAAGTTAAAAATACAAAAATCCAATATCCAGTCCCAGGGAAAGCAGATAAAATCAAGCTGGGAGCTCCTTGCGCCCTCTGACAGCTCTCCAATTATTTTCACTGTAGAAGAGACTGTACAGTAAAAAGATCTGAAATCAGAGCAAAAATGTTCCATCCCCAAGCCAAGAAAAACAACAGGGATGCTCGGGGAGGAATGAGAATAGATCTGAAAATTACTTGTATGATAAACACAGTTAACTTTTCCCTCCCTCAAGAGGAGGAGGAAGGTCAGTTCACAATATACCTTCTTCCTTCCTTCCTTCCATTTCTAACCTTAACATTTGCACCAGCCATATTTTCTTTCCACTTCTCCTTTCTGTTTCCTCTGTGCCCATGTAAACCTTGCTTTCTTCCTTATTTTCCACAGCCCCCCCTTTGTCATTCTCCTTTATTTAATATCTCCACTCAGGCCTCTTTCTGGTCTCCCCTTAATTCTCATTTCTTGCCTGATTTTGGCCACGCAGGCAAAATCCAACCTGTGAAAATCCTCCCCATTTGAAATTTCTCTTAAAAAGAAAAAATAAACCGAAGTCAAACACGTTTGGACATTAATTAAACACAGGAAACAGAGAGTTTATACCAAAGTCTATGTCCAAAGACTAAATTAAAGCTTACTTTGGCACATGGTTCATACTGGCCATTTGGGAGGGGTGGGGAAATTGTTCAGACAGAAGGAAGAATAGGAAGAACTTGCTTGTCTTGGCTACTTTCTCTCATTTTTCCATTCTTTCCTTCTTTCTTTCTTCTCCTGTGTGTAACACCCACAGATTTCCTAATGAGATGGTATGAGACCCACCACACACTGCAGTGTGGGTAGAACTTAAATGAAAAGGAAACCTAAATTAACAAGTAACTTGCGTGGATATTTATATTAAGTGCCACAGAACCGAAAAGTGGGATTAAACAGCATTAATATTAAACATAATATGATAATACTACAGACACTAATGGTAAAAATAAATCGTGATAGGTGACAATTTTCTCTTGGAAACAGTTTAACAAGTCTTCTCTGCTAAACAGATCTAGAAGGATAAGATCTGCTCATTGAAGTAAGGTAGCTTGGCTTGTAGTTCTGAAATGAATCCTAATACATCATGCCTTGACATAAAAGGTAGTCTAAAATCTTATTAATACTGGGCTAATAATTCTCTTTCTAATAAATTTTAATATGTCCTGCAATGTGCACATTAAAATGGACCTGAAAAGATGTGACTTCAAATAGGGTTGGGATGCTGGCCTGGGATACTCAAAATAGTAAATAAGCAGTTAACAGGCATCCTAAGGTTCCTCCTCCAGCTACAAACTTCCTGACAATAGCAGGGGTTTTACAGCAGGGAAACTCAACACAGACTTGCATAACTTTGAGCAAAAAGAAACCACATTCAGCCTGAAGAGCTCCAAAAGTTTTAATACCCTCCAAATGCAGCAATAGCTGCAGCTTAAACATTTCCCAAGCAGCACCCAGCGAGCCACGCACCGGGCTCCGGCACTTCCCTGGATGCTGCAAAACACCAGGAAAACGCTGGCCTAGTGTCTGGGACTTCACCTCTCTGTGAAAAACACAAATGCACCTCCTTGTCCTCTACAAACAGGACCTGTGAGCCCAGAGAGGAAGGCAGAACACCAGAGGTTTGGGGATGTTTGAGTGAAACTGTCCCTAGAGGGAGGTCCCGGTTGCTCCAGTGAACACCCACCTATTCTGTTATTTCCTCCTCAGGTAAGAACAGACTTGAGTGTAACTTGAATAAACTTGATTCTTGGCCCCGAACAAAGCACTCCTTTCTTACAAATTACAGCCCTGAGCAAAGCAGGCTGAGAGAAGAGGAAAGAGCTGGATTTGGAAATGAAGTTGAACACGACTGTTCGTTATCAGGGCCTGTTTTCTTCCTTTGGTTCTTTATTGTTAATTAATGACGGGGAGATTAAGTGCAGAAAACTGATGGAACAGAAATTCTGCCTCATCCAAAGTAAATACCTTTGAATCTAAAACTGTCACTGATATTACTGATGGCCCCCTCATATCCTTAAGTTTTTAATTTTCAGGAAACAAGGGGAAGAGTAAAGCAGAAGATCAGTTCACAACCCTGGGACAGCATATCAATATTTTTACTGAAAAGATCATGACATAAAAGAAAATACAAGACCCTAAATGTTAACAAACACCTACAAATCAGCATCTGTCTGCACATATAAAAACAATTATTATATCTGGTAGTTTTACCTTCTTATAAAACCACTGGTTTGGAAAACCTACTTTTTACTGAGGCAGGAAACTTTAAAAAACAAAGAATAAAAAACATCACTCGATAAAAGGAAACACAGAAACACCTCAGCGAGTCCTAGAAATTCTGATCCCACCTTCTGTAACGTCCCTCTGCTTTCACTGCAAGAAAATTCTGTTTGTTCCTTCAAAACCAGAAGAGTGAAGAGGTCTGAAAGTTCATGTGTTTGACAAACATTAATAATATTTTAAAGGGATAAAATGTAGTTACAAGGAAAAAAGGGTTTAGAAACCCTTTAGGGATCTGAAACATCTTTTGCTTATGCAGTTTTGTGCGGGGTGGGGAAAAAAGCCCTCCTGTGGTGCCACAACAATCTGGCTCCCATATATGCCTAAAATTTTGCAATAATAAGCCAACCATACAGTATGCAACCCACATTTTCTTCATTAAAACCACTCATTATTATTGACAATAGCATGTAAAGCTGCAACCACCGACTAGGAATATACCTTTTCAATAATGGAAAACATTTTGAGAAGCAAAGAATTTGTTCAGAATTAAAATTGTTAATATAACATACATTGAATTCAAAATTTATGAGTAGAGTGATCAGATACTGTAAGTTATACTTCAGTAGAGATCCATCTCAATATATTTAAGGAAATGTGACAAACCATGGCCAGCCCTTTCTTATGTGACAAGTTTATAACATGCTCCATGCTAGTAATAATAAAAAAAAAAAAGTCATTTTTTTCCTAAGGACTATTTAAAAATAAATTGCTTTTCTGATACAAGACCAACAGATAAGCCTATCAACTATAAAATCTACCATTATGACGGCAACGAAATGATATTAAACAAAAATTGGCAAGCCATTTAGCCCCAAAGCTGATGTAACAGAGCACAAGCTCCAGTGATCATTATCTTTGGTGGATGTACTGAAATTGCACTTATTAAGTCTCACCACCCTCACACACACACACAAAAACATCAGTTCCATTTGGGTAAAAGTTCTTAACCCTGTTCTCTGCTGCACTCCCAAGGTCACTGGCGCTGCAGTTCCACCGGTGAAGTGACAAAGGTCATTTACCACATCACAGCAGCTCTTTAGGACTGGACAGGTGGCCAGCAGAGGGAGAAGCAAAGACATCATTTCTTAAATTAAAATCTTCCTGATGGCAATTTTCTCCTGGAAATTTCCAGTGATTCCCACCACACTTTATTTCAGGACAAGTTAAACCATTTCTTTTACCTGTAAGAAACAAAGGACTGGCTGATCCGCGTTCCATGGATTTCCATTGACCACGTTGTCTTCGTGCTTCCAAGTAAAGTTTGACTCTGGAAGCAACAACTTCTTCCAGCAGCCTGCAGACCTCCTGGAAGAGGAACCAGTGGCCTGCTTAGATCCAAATTTACAGAAAAGCCCGCAGCAGAAATCAGTACAAAATCACCCTCTTTCACTTTAAAAGGAAAAACATCATCTGCAATTCAGTACTGAGGGGAGAAACACATAAATTAGGAAATAAATGGGAACGAGGAGGGAATGAAACCATTTTTCTACAAAACAAGAGAGGAAGTACATTATGAAATTCTCACTTCGCAGATGAAATGCTTTGTATTACAATACTATTATTTTTTTTAATCAGAAATTAGTTTCATTTGCAGCCAATGTAGGAAAAAACACATGTTAAAATGCATCACAACATTAAGTATTTAAAAAAAATACTAGTAAAAATCCTCCCAGGAATTGTCAACACTATTTCTCTACAAGAATCCTTACAATCAACAACAGCTATTTTCCTTCAATTCAGTGTAATTGGGGG